TATTGTTCTAAGACGGAACTAGCAATGCTGAATAGGTATGAGACGTTCTGAAACTACAGAATAATAAAAATCCGTGATCGTTATCACAAATTCAGGCCAATATTTCGATATCTGATGACGTAAATGGACGTCACTGAAAATTATAAACAGAAGAGAGCTGTAAAATGTGTATGAAAATCGATATTGAAAAGATCAGGAACTAAAATAGTAGACAGAATACAATCATCTATCAACGAAAAGATGGGTAGTTTGTGTGATTAGTACCTCGAGCACCGGATCTAAAATCAGTGCTTGAATAAATTTAAAATGTTTCACCCCTCATATGAGTGAATTGAACTTTTAAGAAAAGTTCGCTGACAGCGGCCAAACGTGTCTTCATTCTTGAATATACTTTGCTAATGAGTCTAGAATCGATGGCTTCCTCTATGGGTAACGTGTCGCGGAACTCTAGCGGAGAAGGAAATTTTTAGAAGTCACCTGAAACTAAAACGACGGAAAACCACTTGACCACAGCTTTTTGACGTAGATAAGGACCAAATCTAGTGATTGAAATAAAACTGGATGCAAAGTCATCTTCTTTACATTTTTGTTTTGTTATTATTTGTTATCTTCATCTCTTAAAGAATTTATCTTTAGACGGCTCAGGGAAAGCTCCTCGCAGCGGGGTTTTCTGCGAGATCGTGCCTAAGATTTGACGTCACAACCCAAAATACCGTGACCCATAATGCCTTGAAAGTTAAGAAATGCTTGACAACCTTGGAAGATGAGTAACAGAGGTAGTGAGTATTTACATAAGCGAAGTAGTCATCTTAAAGTTGTGTTGTGTTACATCGGGCCTGCCTTGCTAATTTCATTCTATTTGCGTATCTTGCAGTCCTTGGTCTCGCTGTAGTTAGTAATTATCGTTGTGTCCTTGGCTCCGCAAAGAAATGTCGTACACTTTCGTTGGAGATCGAGAAGGTGTTTACGATCGAACCTCTCCGATAGAAATGACTCAAGTAAACCCACAGCCCGTGCAACCTGCAACGGAAATACAGCTCCCAGACATCGACGATTTTTCGCACATTACGCTTCATCAGGTAAAACTATGTATTTGAAATTTTACTACTTTCAGCTTAATTAATTCCATGCAAGCAAGCTGTGTTCCAAAAACGTAAATTGTTAGTATTAAATTTTGATTATACCGGATTGAATTTTATAGCTTTCTTGAGCAGAAAAGAAATACGTCCTTCGTTCATAGCACTGATCATTGTCTAGCTAGAAGGTTCCTCACAACAATGAATCACCTCAGTATATTTTGTTCAATTGTCTTTTTGATGTTCGATTTTACGATTTTACGCTATTAACAAACAAGGGATTATACTTCAAACAAACTTGACGAACAATATTACATTTCACCTCTTCTAACGAAGTTTCCTAACTTTTTTCTGGAAGTGTAAACTCGAGCTGCATGAAAAGCAGGTGATCTATGAGCGGCCCGTATTATTATTTAAATTAGTATTCTCAAACGAAGAAAGAACTTAAACATAATAATTGTGGCAGTACATCAATTCAACATTTTTAACATACCAAGCCGTCGAGTGTAATCTTCTGTTCAGGCTACGTAAAACTTCTTACCTAATTTTCCTTTGTAATTTTTTCCTCCAAGGTCTTTGTTTTTGTTTTGTTCATTTATACTGATGATACAATAAAAAAAAAAGATAATGTTGTCTATTCAACGTTGAGAGTCTTATGCAAAGCCAACAAATGTGACATTAAAAATTAACATCGGTTTATCACTGCATAGATTATTTCTTATGGAATTTTTTTTTCTGTTTTTATTTTCTGGGTACTCTCCAAAATGATGATAATACATGTAGAAATACACTTAATGTGCTAAAGTATAAATGTGTGTAAGGTCGTTCTTAGAGTTTTAACCCTCATTTCGCGGCTCGGGTTGTGTCATGCCCAAACCATATTTATATACCCGCGAAAATAAACTCTCTTTTTATATTAACTAAAGAACATTTTTTAGTGACAACTCAGTTGTCAAGCAACCTAAATACTGCATTTTTTCACCCACTTTTAATTGCATTTCTACTGCTTCTTAAGGATAACAGATTATTTGTTACTTTATTCTATGTATGACATTCAAGGGGGTGTTTTCCAGAATTGTTGCGAATTACTAGTTGTGACCCTTTTGTGGTATTTTGGTATTTAAGGTGTTTTAACTTATTGCCAAACATCACCTTGATCTCAAAGGAAAGTTGCTTAGGTGAAAATTGTTTATATTTTGTAACAGTGCATAATTAAAGCTTAACCCTTGTCTGTCAAACAATATGCATCCTATGGTACGTACTGAGAAGAAGAAATGGTTTGAAAATCATAAGTTGGCAATCATTTCATTTATCATCAAGGCCTTAATGTTTATGTCAGCATTAACACAGTAAGGAGGAATTTGATGCTAATCACTCAAATAGCACTTAGACCAAACAAACTGGCCATCCTGCCACATCCAATTACATTGTGCACCGATTCTAAAAGGCCTGAGTTAACATACTAGTTAGGCAGAAAAACTATTCAATCCTCTAAAATATGATAAGGAAAGGATGAATATTCCAAATCTTTTCTAGAAAAGGAGCTGGTATATTTTAAGCTCAGTGGTTCCTGTGAAAGTTGTGCTATTTTAGTGAATGATACTGTAAGCTCTTTTGGGAATTGAGCCTGTCTGTAGAATACAAATGTCCATATTGAGGAAAACCTGAGTAAAAAGATTGTTTCTGAGTATACCTCTGTTAGTCGGTTACCCAACTTAAATTCCTTATCTCTCATTTAAATTTAACACTTGACTTCTACATCTCAATCACTTGGTTTTCTTGAAACTTCAAACAACCTGTCATGCTTGAAATAAGGGGGAGCACTGAAAAAGAGAAAAGCCAAACTGTTTTAAAAAATTTTAAGCCTTTGAATAATTAAAGCTCAGCATGTACAAATTGATCTGTAACTTTTGAGGGAAGTCAACCAAGGCCTTAACTGCAAGTAGAAAACAAAGTGCCAGAACAAAAGATTGGGATTGGAGAATGCTTAATATTGCCAATTATTCATTTTTTCTTAAGATTATTATATGGTTAAATTTCATTATTATAGTGTGTTGGATTGATTTACAGGCTGCAAGAGATGGTAAAACTGATGTCATCAAGCAAAGACTTTCCAAACTTGCATCGAAAAACCAAGCAAGATTTCAAAAATTAGTAAACAAGAGAGATGAGGACAACACCACACCTTTACACTATGCTGTACGATATGGACAGGTGGAGGTTGTCAAAT